GGTGGGGTAGAAAAAGAGGGATTGCTGAAGGAATAGTGTCTCGCCCTGCCCATGCGGTAAAACCGGGTGTTGTATCCTGGTACGCGAAAAAATCCAGGTGTTGTATCCTGATACACGGAACAATCCAGGTGTTGTATCCTGGTCAGGTGTTGTATCGTGATACGTGAAAAAAATCCAGGTGTTGTATCTTGGTCAGGTGTTGTATCGTGATACGTGAAAAAAATCCAGGTGTTGTATCCTGGTAGGCTGAGGGTAGTAAATTGAACTGTACTCGCAGAAGAGCTGAGGGTGGTAACTCGATTCAAGTGTGTTATTAAAGCCAGGATTTGGAACCTGGTCTGTGTTCCCGAATTGTGATAGTTCGTCAGTTTGTCTTGACTGGGGGATTCCGCGGGGTGCGTGGGAGACGAGAAAATGGTTTGGTGTGAAGAAAAATAATTAGTGGAAGTGTCTGACTGGGTGTCAGAAAAAAAGAAATTAGATTAATGCAAAGTGAAACTTAAAAAGAAATATGGACTGTCAGATGGAATTTAGGCTGAACAGGAATGTAGAAAGGTGTATGAACAATGGGCTAAAAATAAACAGAGAAGGGTTTTATTTTAGAGGAATATTTGAGAATTCAAAAGAATATCGTAGAGAAAACGGAATGGGATGAGACGCAAAAATCCCTGACGGAAAAACTAAAAGCAATGGCTGAACGTAACGAAATTATATATGCAAAAAAAAAGGCAAAAGGAGAAATAGAACGCCTTAAGAGAGAATCTGGGAGAAAGGTGGGAATTAGTGTGGAGATTTTTATAAGAGCATTACCCACCAAAAACTGATTGGAGAAAAGTAACACCATGTCAGCAAAGGAAAGTGAGGATGTTTCAGATTTTACAGAAAGGTTTATAATTTTATAGATAGTATACTCGGGGTTAGCGGATGAAAAGGAAGTGAATGAAGATACACAGTAATAAAACAAATGTTTTGAGTGGGTTAAAACTTGATGTTGCCAAGAATGTACAATTATGTTTTCCTGATATTATGGATAGCGGAGACAGATTTGATTTAATAACTCACAAATCATGTATGCAGAAGTGTGAGCACTGCAAATGGGAGGTAAAAAGACTCCCAAGAAGGAGAAAAAGGAGCCGCCAGTTTGTCGCAATTATAGTGCGACTTTAATATTATACCGAGATATAAGACCCTGTTGTAACAGATAGAATTAGGTTCTGGATCCAGAGATGACGTTAAACAGATGAGTTTATTGCATGCTAGGAACAATAAAGCCGAAGTCTTGTTTCCCGCAAGAAACAACAAAACCGAAATATTGTTCAAGGTGCCGGTACAAACTTTAGATTTATATAGTCCTTCCTTGCTGCTTCTGTTGTCATTTGTTATTATGGTGAAAGGGGAAGGTCGTGTTTGTCCAGTTTACAGCTTTTTGGCCAAATGGTCAAGGATTAAGTCCCCAAGGGGTTCCCTAGCTCTCCTAGCTCAAATCTGGAATCCTTATCAGTTCTCCCTTTCCTGCCATAAACTCCTGTTGTTTAGAAGTCTAATCTTCAAGCAGAAAGGACTTAATTTAAACCCCATCTTTACTTTTACTTCAACCCCTTCAAGAAAATAATGAGGACTGGGATAAATCTCCTGATTGGGCATATCGAGATGGGGGTGTGCTAACTAGGGGAAAACGGGGACAAAACTCCAAAGATAAAACTATTAATTAGCTGGTGTGCAATTACTTAAAGAAACTGTGTTTTTTGGAAAAAGTGTAAGAAAGAAGCTGGATTTAACGTTTAAAGAACATGTCAGAAGCTGTAACGTGAAATAATAGATTTAATCTAGTAAGGCCCTTTGTAGCCTTCCTAAATTTATCTCAGGATTTAAATAAAAGTGAAATAATCTTACAGTGTGCAGTAACTGGGGCACACAGGAGCACATTTGTCCTGTTTTTAGACTAAAACAGCATAAAGATGTGATATAAAGTTTTCTAATGGGTAACAGGAAGCTACAGGAGAAGGGGGGCAAAGGTTGTGTTTAAAGCAAATAAAGGCTGTCACAGTATGCTTCGGAAAAGATAATAATAATTAATAATTGCTTACACTTATATAGTGCTTTTCTGGACACTCCACTCAAAGCACTTTACAGGTAATGGGGAATCCCCTCCACCACCACCAATGTGTAGCATCCACCTGGAAGATGTACAGTTTCATCTACTGATGTGGGTGGGGGACACCCCAGAACTATTGGGCTGGGATGCCCTGCAGCATTTATAAGGAATTTCTTTATGAATAGCATTTATGTGAACTACCTCAATAGAGCTATGTGATATTGTGATTGTTTTACCTAATGAGGGAACCCATAAGGCCAGGCTACTCCAAGTATTAGATCTTCGGACGGAAAAAAGGGTATAAAACCAACTAGATGATAAAGCCAGGGTGAATTCCTTCTCAGAACGAGCTTGCCTGGTGACGAACTTCCTTAAGGGGGGTAGTGTAGTCTAAAGACAAAATTGCCTTGACCCCTGCAGCAGAAACTGTTTTTAATGTCTTGAAACAAGCTTTCTTGCAGGCACTGCCCCTGGACTGGATTCCCTCAGATGAATCATCTGTATGTAATCTGTATGTAAGTGAAAGAAATGGGTTGTGAGCTGCTGTGCTGGTGCAGAAGCATGGAGGTACAGTACATGTAGGCATCGTCTGTTTGGTTATTATTCAGGACCCCTCGATGCAGTGGCCAAGGGGCCATATTTATGTGTTATGGAGGCTACCTGCCTGGCTGTATAAACTGTGAAGAATCTGGTGTAGAACCAGCAGAGCGAATGAAAAGATTTAATTGAAACTTGTAAATATGCTAAATGGAAAACTGTAGCGATTTATATAGACTCTATATATACACATTTGGTGTATGCCACAATTTTGGATGGCGGTGGAGGAATAGGGATTTCCTCAACACGGCAGGGACTCCAGTTAAGAATGCTGGGTTTGTCTCTGAACTGTTAGAAGCTTTGCAGCTACTGACTGAAGTAGCTGTGGTAAAGTGTAAGTCACATAATAAAGAAATGTTTCCAGTAACCCGAGGGAACAACTTTGCAGATGCAGCTGTCAGGTGAGCAGTCCTGGTAGAGCAGGAGTCTGAGACCCCTGTGAGACCTCAGTTGGTGAAAAGGGGACAGCTACAGGGCATTCAGGCTGTATAGGACATTTAGAGGCCACTAAAGCAGAGAAATGGACATAGTTAGAAAAGAATGTGGGGCTGCATGATAATTGGGGGTTGTGCAGCCAGCACACTAGACGCCCTGGATGCCCTCACAGCCTAATGCCCTTTGTAGCCCAACAAAGGCACTCTGTTGGACACCCAGGTGTGAGTCAAATGGTGTGCTGGTTACCCAAAACTGGGTGGAGACCGGGTTTGAAGCAGTAGCCACTTATGTGGTAACTTGATGTGAGGCTTATCAAAGTAACTCAACTACAGTTCAAGTGTGGGAGCTACAGCACAAAAGGCCATGCTCCTGAGGAACCTTTCATGCACTGGCAAGTTGACAGTTGTAAAGAGAAAACCTGGGCTCTTATAATCTGTTTTCCCAGTGGGTTGCTACCACTGCCTCTGTGTCTACCAAACACTTGACGACGGAGATAAGCCCTCGGTGGGCACTGCCCTGCCGCTTGTATTATGATGAAGGGATGCACTTCATTGGGCAAGTGTGTCAGGCTGTGGTTGCATTGTTTGGGGTGAGATGGACTGAGATCACCCTCAGTCTGCTTGAACAGTGGAACGAAGGAACAGAACTCTGAAAGATCGACGAAACATCAGACTGAAGGAAGATCGAGGGATTGTACCGTGCACTTTGAATGGCTGCATCTGTACCACCTCTATCATGAATATTTTAATTAAGCAGAGATATTTGCTTCAGTTTTGGAGAGAGTTTCACCAGCTGGATAAAGTTACTGTAATCTGAAATGGGCAGTAAAGTCAAGATAAATGGACACCTGGGGGATTTGATTCCCCAGGAGTTGGGAGTATGACATGGGTATTCTCTGTCACATCTTCTCTATGTTCTCTTCACAGAGACATTAACAGAGGTGGTGAGACACAGAGCCCCTCAAAATATTGGAGGTTTCGTTCCAGAGCCAGGACACTGAGACCATCAACTGGACTGAGAGAATCAGCAAGGTGAACGTGAAGCTGGGTCTGTGGAAGACATGGTCACTGTCCCTCATGGGGAAAATGTTGATGTTGAAAGCAGACATCCTGCCGGCTTTGTTTTACCTGGCTATGGTGTACCTGTTGCCAGCCAGACTCAAATGAGTGCTGCAAGGGATGGTCTTCAAGTATGTATGGGGTGGAAGGTACAAGTACATCATGAGTAACCGGATGTGCCAGCCGGTCGAGGAAGGGGGGATGACCTGCCGCATTTCCCCCTGAAACTCGACTACATGCTATTCTGCAACCTCTGTCAGGCGCTGCGGGAGCCCATCAGCCACAAGTACCAGTACTTTGATGAGGCACCTGGTCCAGTGGACAAACACCGGACCAAAAGCTGAAAAGAGACATGAGACCTACACCCACATTGTCAAGTGGAGACAGAGCTGTGCCCACGAGACAGCCAGAGCTGTGCACCAACCACAGAGCCCTGTACAAGGAGGTGAGGGGGTAATTTGTCGCCAGAGAAAGGCTGTGGGTTCCCAGAGAAGCCTGGGAAAGGACACAGCCAAAAGCACTAGACAACAAACTAAATGACCTTAATTGGATGGCTGTGCACAAGAGGTTGGCGATCAGAGTGGTCCTTTACAGACACTTGATCAACAAGAATCCGCATTGCACCCGGGATACATGCTTCACCGAGGAGACCCAGGAGCACGTGTTCTGGAGCTGCCCCTGTGCCACAGCGGTGTGGGGCAGAATGGACAACACCATGCAACTCCTGGGAGTGAGAACAGTGCCAAGCTATCAGGGCATCCTGCTGGGGCTAGCACCTACAGATCAGACAAAGGGACACAGTACTTGCAGGACTGTGGAACGCGAGGAACACTCTCATCTGGCACAACACAGAGTGGGGAGCGTTGGAGCTGGAAGAGAGGGAGGATGAAGCGCGACATTGCCACATGGGGCTTCTCCACAGCAGGGAACTTTGGGCCCTGTACAGATACTAAAGTGGAAATCCCTGATCCCTGAGCTCCTGCTCCTTTCAGAGCCGGGACAGGGAAATGACATGGACAAAAGCAAGTGGTAGGGCTTGTAGAGACTCTTTCATTGTGCAAATACAGCCCCATCATCCTTGCACTGATTTATAATAGACAATCTCCTCATTCAGAAAGTTTTTTTTATTTGATGATAGTTTGAAAATTTGTTAGAATGTGTACTGATTGTGAAGTTTTTTCTTTGAAATAAAGTTTATTTTGATAGAAACAAAATATGTGAGGTACATTGGTTTTCCTATGTTTTTTTCTTCATTTTCCCTAAGCTTAACAGCTTAAATCACCTAATCACTTGTGTCCAATCGACTTCCTTACTAATGCCAAAATGCTGCATTATTAATAATAATTGTTTACACTTATATAGGGCTTTTCTGGACAGTCCACTCAAAGCACTTTATAGGTAATGGGGACTCCCCTCCACCACGAACCAATGTGCAGCATTCACCTGGATGATGTGACGGCAGCCATAGTG